AGATTTCCAGCGATTGAATTTTATTTGTTTGGTTTTGCACTTGTTACCGTGTGCTTTTGTAGACATCAAGAAACATGTGTTGTTAATGTTACTAAAGATTGTAAACTTGTTGGACTGTTTTTTTTAGGATGATTGAATTTCTGAAGTATGCAGTAGGCCTACTACTCTGTACGTTGTCAATTCATAGCAGGTAAGTGTGTAAAAGAGATTTATGAACTGGTCATTGAAATAATGTGATAATCATAATTAATAGGCCCTAATGGCCTAATCATGAAAGGGCCTAAGATCAAAATAAATTATTCTTTTTAGATAAAAACCATAAATCTAACCAATCAAACATCTTGTTGAAATTGAAATTTATGATGGCCTGTACTCAAATTTAGAGAAAAAATTAGGCCTATTGTTTTCATTTTTCAATTTATCATCTGTTTCTTGATTTAAGAAAAATATTACCGGATAACAGATTACTTTAAAATAGTTATTGATTATATTTATTCATTTTCAATAAGTTTTTATTCTAAACAATTTGTATAGATCATTAAAAACAACCTACCATACCAAAATATTTTCAATAATAAATAGTCTTACATTATTCCAATTTTTAGTGTTAGTATGTAAAATCCTATGTAATTGAATTAAAAAGTTTTTATTTTATTCAATAGGTAATGTTATGTGTGGGTAGTTCAATAGTACAATAGTCTGCATCTTATGCATTCTGAAAGAGTATCTTTTTCCATATTATTATATTGGTTTACATTTAAATCTTGCATAGAGACACCGCTATCTTTCCGGCGAATAATCCAATTTTAGGACCATGAATTCCGTCGATAAAATTCACTACGTGAATCGGGCGTAAAAATTATACGAAAAATTGCGCTCGTCTACCCCTAGAATAACGGGGATGAGATGTGTAATTAGTTCTACGTGTTTGTATTATTGTATTTCACTTAGCCCAAAGTCATAAAGGTAAACGCAAACCAACATAATTATACTTGTCTCTGGACAGTGATGTTGGATAAAGTTATTTCGATGGAATTCACATTTTCCACATTAGAATATTAACGAGCATATACTATTTTTTTAATGCAATTGATAAAATCGAGTCTTAAATTGAAGAGTAAGAAAGGAAAACGATAACAATTTATTCCAAAACAACATATAACTACAACTATCCATAATAAAATGTGATTTGAATACGAATAGTACGGGTGTTGATACAAAAAACTGATTTTATATTTTGTAAGTCGGAACAATTATATAGGTATAAACCAAAAAGCTAACAAATAACAATAATTTATTAATAAAAAACGATGAAATGGGTGTCCTGCATGAAAGTAAAAATATTTGTTATAGCCCAGACTTTCGACA